CAGGAATTAAACTCGTCCGACCAATTAAAAAATTACTTAGCCACCCTCTGCCTTAATTATTCCAGTTGAAAAACAATTTTTGAATAATGAAATGAAATTATTAATAATCTCTTTAAATTATTAAAAAATCTCCAGTGATCAAAGAAATGAAAATTAAAATAACTTTAAAATAGGCCATTTTCCCTTGGACAGCAAGGAGATCAAATCAGTCAATACTTCAAGAAATTAATTCAGGCTATTCACTAGAAGGTCAGACACTGAAGCTGAAGCTTAAATACTTTGGCCATATAATAAGATGACAGGACTCACTGGAAAAGACCCTGATGTTGGGAAAGACTGAAGGCAAAAGGAAAACGGTTGTCAGAGGATGAGAAGGATAGATATTATCATGGAAACAACGAACATGAATTTGGACAGACTTTGAGATAATGGAGAATAGAAGGGCCTGATGTGCTATGGTCTATGGGGTCACGAAGAGTCAGATGTGACTAAATGACTGGACAACAAAATATTATCTGCATAACTTCTCTAATTTCCATTTGATCTCTGCTTAGATAAATGGGTTTACTTGCTATTCAAAAAATAAAATAAAATAGGCCATTTTATGCTGCCTAAATTTGTAAAGCTTAGAAACAACAAGAAATCAATATGTAGGAGGGAGGTGTAGACAAACAGGAACTCTATTACATTGCTGATGGTGAGTATAAACTTATCCTCCGCAGAAAACTTATAATCTGGCAATATAAAACAAGGGTTATAAAAGCCTGTATACAGAGGCAGCTAAGTGGTGCAGTGGATAGAGCTCTGGCCTTGAAGTCAGGAGGACCTGAATTCAAATCCAGCCTCAGACACTCGACACTTACTAGCTGTGTGACCCTGGGGAAGTCACTTAACCCCAACTGCCTCAGCAAAAAGCAAAAAAAACCAAAACAAAACAAAACCCAAAAACCAACCAACAAACAAACAAAAAAACCTGTATACAAAATATATGTGACATACAATATAAAAACCTGTACCTTTTAATTCAGTGGTCCTACTAGGGCTGTATGTAAAAGACAGGTAGAAAAAAATCTATCTATGCAAAATTATTTACAGCTATTTTACTTGAGTAAAAAATAAGAAACTATTTAAAATGCCCAACCACTGAGAAATGACTAAATTAGGTATACCAATGTAATAGTATATTATAGTACTATAAAAATGACAAACACATGGAACATAAAGAAATAAGGAAAAATTCATACAAAGCAAAGAAGTCTTAAGAAGACAAAGCAAACAAATTGTTTCTGTTAATATTTAAGTTCATTTTTTTTCAGAAGAAATTAGGGTATTTGACAACAGCAGGTCTGAAGATTAATAAAAATGTTTGTAAAAAATAATAATAATAAAGTCACTAAAGGGAGATCTACAAATAAGATCCTATTACATGAAAAATCAATATAATAGAAGGTTCTATGTAAGAAAACTACTTCACTTTTCTAGATGGCACATATAAACAATCCTTTCTTAATCTAATTACCACAAATTTTCTACTGTACATAAAGCAGTACAAGTCCTTCATACAAACCATAATCACAGAAAGAAAAAATCTCTATAATGCCTAATTTTACAATACATGCAAAATAGGCCCTAATTTACTGCACACTCACTGGAGAAGCATTATACCCCGGTTAAATGCTTCGCTCCTATTCTAATCAGTGTTACTCTTCAAAACAGTTGCTCTAGCAGGTAGGTAGTACAAGTATTATCCCTATCTTACAGATGGAAAAATTGAGGCTTCTGGATTATGCCATCTACCCCAAATCATGAAGTTATTAAATGGCCACAGCCGGATTCAATCACAAGTCTTCTGACTCCAAGTTCTATGGTTCATACCCACTCCAGCACGCTATGTCCTCCATCTCTATCCTCAGGGACTTCAATATTCATGTTGATGATAATTTTGATAATTTGACCACAAAATTCCTCAACCCTAATGATCTCCTTTTCCATGTCACAAACGGTCATGGTCATATTTAAGCCTTACCTTCTCTCAGAATGGTACCATCTCTGAGATCTAAAACTTTTAAATTCTACTCCTTAAAAGCACAATCTCCCTAGTCTCTCGCCAACACTGAACCTATTCTTTGCCCTCATGACCTCTGCTTCTCTAGTCTTTCAGTCCATCTTCTTGACTCTATTCATAAGCCTACATACTCAAATCTGACTCTGTGGTTTGCCATTTTAATGTTTCACTAACTGCTGCCTTAAAATTGTCCATCTCTCATCTTTCACCACTCCTGACATATCAGTCTTTACCAGTAGATAAACCCTTGATATATGATTGCTCTATTCTGGTACTACAGTTGCTGAACACCTCTGAAGCAAATCACAAAAACTGACCTGATTTCAACCACTACAAAATCATGGTATATAACATCAACTGGGCTCTTGCTGCTCAAAAATCCTTCTACTCCAATCTTATCAACTCTTTATCTCTTATCCTTATCTTACCTTATTAATCCTAACCCTAAATTCTTGTGTTATAAACCTTTTGCCTTCTCCTCTTACCACCAACTATAAACCAACCACTCCACATTGGGAATAGCAGCCTCTTACTTAGTTGAGAAGACTGAATCTGTCAAACGTGAAATCCCTCATCTTCCTTCCTTCTATTCCTAACGTTTTGGCTTCGCCTTACCTCCAGATACAGAAAAGATAACCTTACCACTAGGGCTAATCTTTCTGTCTGGGTTCTTGACCCCATTTCTTCCCACCTCCTCTAGGACCTTGATCTAACAGTCATCTATTTGTCATTAATTTTTCATTTGTCCCACACCATTGCCTCCAACCCATTTACTTACAACTGTGCTCAAGTTTTCCTAGTCCTAAAAAAGCATTCCCTTGACCTTCTTGTCCTTTCAGGTTAACATTCCACCTCAACTCACCTTCAGAGCTAAATTTCTGGAATAGCAGTCTATACCCTATGCATCCCCATCCTTATAATAAACTATTTCTTGAAACCCTCACAATCTGGCTTCAATTACCATCACTGAAACTGCTTTTAAAGGTCATTAGTGATCTCCACATGTGAAATCCAATGGCCTTCTTCCAGTCCTGATTATCCTTAGCTACTGCCCAGTTTCCAACACAGCTTACCACTAAGTGGTACAGTGGATAGAGCATTGAGCCTTCAGTCAGTAAGACCAAACTTCAAATCCCACTTCAGACATTTACTAGTTGTGTGACCCTGGGCAAAATCACTTTACCTTTGCCTGGCTCAGTTTTTTCAAGTGTCTAACCTTTATCGAGTTTAGTTACCTGTAAAAATAGAGATAATAACAGCACCTACTTCACAAGGTTGTTTTGAGGATTAAATGAGATAGTATTTCAAAAATGCTTAGCACAGATCCTAACACATAGTAGGCACTTAATAAATGCTTGTTTCCTTTCTTCCTATCTTCTGGTTCCTTTTGTTACTATACCTTTTCAGACTTCTTAAGTGAATCCTCATCTTCTTCCTGGGTTAAATGTGGGTGTTCCCCAAAGGTCTGTTACTGGCCCTCTTCTATTTCTATATTCTCTCCTTGGCAATCTCAATCACTCCCATGATTTCAACTACTACTTCTGTGCTGATGATTTCCAAATCTCTCTCTAGTCCTTACCTCTCTTCTGGACTTCAGACTCTTCTCTCCACATGGGCGTCCACATGTTGATATCCACTCATATATTAGAGTCTCCTAGTTCATCAACCCTTTCAGCTTCTGCTTTCTATACCTTCACTCCACGTTAGCCATACACAGAAATAATCATACCCACAACCTTATCGTGCTCTATAAGTGTTCTACTTCTTTGATCGGGAACTCTTAAAATTACCCTGATCAAAGTCTCCTATGCTTCTATCTCTGACTGTGCCTTCCTCCTAAAACTGTTTTTCATCCTCAAATTTCTCCATCTCTCAAAGTTTTCAATGCCTATGCTCTGGCTTCACTTTGTTCCATTCTCAATCTTGATCCTACAGTTAACCAGTTCAATTACACACTGTCTTCTCTGCTCAGATCTCTCATTCTCTTATCCAAATGTCTCTACTCAAATCCTTCACCCCTAATACCTTGCCAAACCCCAAACCTGTATTACACTTACCATGTATACAACTACCTACTTCTTTTACATGTACTACTGAAAGAAAAGAAAAATCACATAACTGTATTGACTAGGTCACTAAAAATTTATATTTTGATCAAGTGATTAAAATTTACACTTTTATGAAATAATATTTAATAAGCCAAGTAGATCAGCCCCTGGCACATCAGAAAATGTTTAATAAATGTTTATTCCCTTCCCTTCCCCCTTATATTATCTAATTTCAACTGGACTCTCACATAAGCAAGATAATGAATCCTTTTACTCTTTCCTAAATGATTATCACACTATGCAAAATTGTTGATCCAAACCTTCCTTCTCTCAAGCCTCTTCTACCATTTGCTTCCCCTTCCTTCTCAGTAGAGGTCTGCCCAGTTCCAATCAGTACTGTATCAATTACACTACACTACCTCATCAGTTCTACTTCATTGGCAACAATTCTCTAGATTTAAAATAGTAACTCCTAGAAATGCCACTTTCATTATATTCAACTAGAAACAAAAAAGCATATGCCCACTTGACACTTACTAGCTGTCTGACCCTGGGCAAGTCACTTAACCCCATTGCCTAGCCAAAAAAAAAACAAAAAGAGCACATGCCTCATAAAGTTCAATGGCACCTCAATGAAATGGATGAAGTGCAAGACATGGAGTCAGGAAAACTTAAGTTCAGTCCCATCTCAGTCACGGACTTGCTGCAGCCATTTAACTACCATGAGTCCAGTTTCCTCACCTAGAAAACAGGGGGTTGAAATAACTGACCTCTAAGGTCCTTTCGAGCTATAAATACATGATCCTAAATACATACTAAAGTTTTTAACCAAACCTCCACCAACCTTGGAAACTTGGACATGATTCTATTTTAAATAGTAACCTTACCTCATTAGACCTTACTGCTCTAGGTTCGTGGATTGTACAAAATGGGCCAGTTTTCCATGCCTCTGTGTCTCCACAGTCACAAAATCCTCCTCCAGTAGAAGTATGCATCTAAACAAAAAATAAGAATGCTTTTTTTATTAAAATTAAAACATAAACTAGCACTTCACAGAAAAACGTGGGCCCTAGAAGTCTGGATTTTAAAAGGACAATTTTTAAAATGTGGGGGTTTTTCTCCCTTTTACACATTTTCTATTAGCTTTAATAATGGAGGAAAACAGAAATACAAATAGTACAAATTTAATTCATAAAAAAAATTCCAAATAACAGGTATGCTTAAAAAATGAGGTGTTCTGGCTAATATAGCTAAACATTCAACTGATTTTTTTTAAACCTTGCTAGTAAAAATTTTTTTAAATGCATTTAACCTGTTTTCCCACTCTCATAAATATAACATACTAAAGATAATTGAATTTTTTTGACAATTAAGCATCTTACTATATTTCAAAGCTATAAATATCAGTACCCATTATCCAATATTGTAGATACTGCAATTAATTAATATTTATTAAAGCACAAATGTGCCAAGTACTGTGCTAGATACAAGGAATACAAAGACAAAAATGAAACAGTTCTTCCCCATAAGGAGTATACATTCTATTGGGGAAAACAATATATATAGATGTGTAAGTAGATAAAAAAAAAAAATACAGGGTAAATTTTGGTACAGGCACTTAACACTGCTGCAAAGATCAGAAAAGGACTCATTTACAAGGTGATATTTGAGCTGAGCTTTGAAGGAAACTAATTTTAAGAGGTAGTGGTAAAGAAGAAATACGTTCTAGGAACAGATGACAATCTATGGAAAGATGCAAAGATAAATGATAGAATGTCATACGTGAGGCATGGAAAGAAGTCTGGACCAGACTGGTGCATGAAGCTAGACCAGACAGTACATGGAAAGAGTAATAATATATTATAAGAATGGAAAGAAAGGTTGAACTCAGGTTGTGAAAAGCATATATATACTACAGGATATAATATCCTGGTTACTGCATTTTTAAATAAATCCCTTTCATCAGTTTGTTTTCTTATGGATTTGCCTTTGTCCTAAAAGGAGAATACAGACAAAAAAAAATCCTATCTATTCAGTTCCTGATCAATTAGAGCTCTAAAGTAAATGAACAAATCAAAACAGGAGGAAATATAAGATCATAGATTTAGAGCTGGAATAGACTTTAGAGGTCATTCAGTTCAACCCCCTCATTTTACAGATGAAAAATTGAGGCAGAGAGTGGTGAAGTTATCTGCCCAAGGTCACACAAGTAATAAGTGACAGAGGAGACAGAAGAAAGAACTAATAAGCTATGGTGGGCATAATCATCATCAGCTTCTTCATCATCAATTTAGAGTTAAAAGGGATCTTAGAAGTAATCTGGTTCTCATTTTACCAATAAAGAAATTAAGTCCCAGAGGTTCAGTGACTTGACCAAAGTCACACAGGTATTATGCAGCAATGCCAAAAGCCAGGTATTCTGACTTTTAACTCCAACATTCCTGTATTGTAAAACATTATACGTGTAAATAGCTGTATATACTTCTATTTACAAATATCGTATTATTAACAACAAACACAAATATTACAAATCCTGTTTAAAAGAAATTAGAAAGTTAAGTAAAATATGCTATCCAAAGGAGTGTTTTAACTCATAAGGTATGGGTCTTACTACCCACAGCTGAAAACAGTAAACTGAAGGGCCTCAAATGTAAACAAAGTTTTGTTGATTAAATGGTATCACTACTTTGTGATGATCTTATTCCCTCATTCCTCTTTATGTCCTGGGTACTGTAAATCTGAACTATACCTTAAGAGGCTGCTCAACTCTTAGAGACTTAGGAAGACTTAAGAAGTAGGTTTCTTGATCAGTTTGTTACAGATGAAAATCCCAAAAGAAAAATTCTACCTCCTCAAGCTGATGTCTCTCTTAGATCCCTTCCAGCTCTAAAATTCTAAGTCAATGCATATAAACTTTCCAAATCATCTTAATACTTTTATTAAAAAGAAAAATCTTAATAATCATCAAAAAAATCAAATAAACATGTGAAACAAGGGCAAAATTTTACTCCAAAACTTTAGTCTTTAAAAAGTTAGAGAACCAAACACAACTTAAAATTCAATCAAACCTTATAACGATGATTTTTGTGAACACTGCTCTGGAAACAGTTCATGCAGAGGACACATGTTGGATCAATTGCACAGTCCCTAAAGAAGAGATTTCAAGTTAGTTACTCTAAATTTTAGATCATTATCATTTTAAGCACAGATATACATAGATCCTAAAATAACAGAATGATTTTTAAAAAAATATGCCACACATATACAGAAATTAACGTCTTTGCCTTCAATAAATAGTAGTTCATATTTATAAAGTATATTTCAGTTTACAAATCACTTTCTTTCCAACAACTCCATATAGTGTATTTTTATGCCTATTTTACAGATGAAGAAACTAAAGTTCAGTGAGATTACAATATCTGTCCAAGATTATAGAGCCAATGGCACAGCCAGGACTAGAAGCTGGGTCCTCAAAATGCAATGAGCTTTCAAGCACCCTCAGAGCCAATGGCATTTTTCTTGGTTGGGGGCAGAGCAGGGAAGGCAAGAAGCAGAATATCCCCACTGTTGGTAAATCCTCACTCTTTTAGGGTAAATTTTATTTTTATAAATAGACAAAAGTTATTCAGAGCTAAGTCTGTTGAATAATATGGGTGATCAACTGAATGACACTACTTGAAAGAGGTAGAAAAAAGGATGATAGGATATGACTATAAAGTAATGAAACTTACATTCTTGTGTAGCTCATAAATTGGTTCCAAAGATTAATGCAAAAAAGTTCCAAAAATATTTTGAATAAGTGGAGCTTGACTAGAATATGCATGTAGCTGAAAATTTCCATTTGCATGTAGTTTTTTCTGTTTGTCACATTTTTTTAAAAAAGATAATCTGTGATTACTTAATAGTCTCACCTTATATTATGTGATTTGTGTAGCTAATTTCTGACCTGACCTAATTTAAAATGTCAGAACACTCCTGTCGAACTGAGAAAATTACCTGCTGTTCCAACATCTTATAAAAAGTACTTCACTAACAGAGAGATTCCATATTGCTAGTTGAGGTTTGTGGAAAGAAAGACCCACCCTTATTTCCACTTACTCAAAATATTAAACTTTAAAATAAATCATCTTAATATCTTCAGTAAAAAAAAAAAAAACAACAAAATAGAAGGGTTTCTTTGCTAAATACCTTTTTCAAATTATTTGGGCAAGGATGTGAACTTCTTGAAAAGTTTAAAAGTAGATTTAAAAAAGTAAACAAAAATTCTTTTGGAATCTAGGGAAATTATTTTTAAATTACTGTTATAGGGAAAAAAAGAAAAGAAAAGGCTAACTTGTGACCCTGGACATCTCACTTAACCTTTCTAACACCTTCCTTTGCTGCAAATTGGAGAAGACTGTTTGATTCTATTAACTAAAAAACTAAACATGACAATACATTCTTTTTTATAACTCACTGACTTTATTCTCCTAAGTAGTAGCAAAATACATTAAATTAGCATGCTAACTTTTCTAAGAAATCATTATTTACCTTCGGCTAACACTACTCTATGGAAAATTGCTACATGATGCTCCAAAAGACAAACACTGACACATCCTCGATTTTTGAAAGATAAAAAACAAAACCACTAAAAAACTTTTTCAAAAAAAGTCTTATCTGGGGCAGCTAGGTGGCGCAGTGGATAGAGCACCGGCCCTGAAGTCAGGAGGACCTAAGTTCAAATACCACTTCAGATCAAACACTTGACACTTACTAGCTGTGTGACCCTGGGCAAGTCACTTAACCCCAACTGCCTAAAAATAAAATAAAATTAAATTAAATTTTAAAAAAGAAGTCTTATCTAATTTCATTATGGTATGGCTATAGCATTTTGCGAAAACCTAACAACTTTGACTCAACTTAACCCTTCTATGCTTCAGTTTCCTCACCTATAAGATGAGGGAGTTGGGCTAAATTGTATCTCTAGAGCACTTTTAACAGTTTTGTGATTCTGATTAAATTAAAAATATTCAAGAATTTGAATGAAGTTTACTATACAGCACAGTAATTTTGTCTAACCTCAAAAGCAAATTATTCTAATAGTTAAACTTTTTCCTTTTCTAAATATTTTGTATAATTTTTATCCATGTATTTTTCATGTTTCCTCTGCAGAAATTTCTATAATAAAACTGAGAAAAAAATAATCTGTTCTTAAATAAATAAGATATTTACAATCTCATGTTAGTTTTTAGACAGAAGAAAAGAAAAAAGTCAAAACTCAAGTTCAAAAGCCAAAAGAGTCTCAAGTTTCAAGTAGGTATAACTAAGAAAAAGATTCTCTGTACCTGACTGGGCTTTAAGTGGACAGCCCTCGAAAAGAGCCCTGGCAGTAAATCTGCTCCCATTTTGGGCTCCCTATATACTCACTCCTCCTCTCCTCCCCACTACACAACCCTCACTATCCTGCTGAAAACAAGCAAAGTTTCTCCTACTTCCCCATTCTCTTTTTGGAAATGGCAAAAGCCACAGCTTGGGTCTTGAAACAACAGAGAAAGAAAATGTGATGATGGCTTATTAATTGCGAGTGAGACTCTAACAAATATGCTGTAAGGGTTAGTCACAGACCATTAATAAGTGCTGAAAAGAACAAACACATTAAATAAAATGACAATGTTTTATAAAGAGCCTTGAGTTGATAAGGAACCTAAAAAAAGGTATACTACTGATAACAGGAAGAATGCAGAGATTACAAACACACTAATTCTATAAATTTCCATTTCTTACCTACAAGAGTATGTCGTCTCCCCACTTTTGAAAACCTTCCCACAAAGCTGAAATGCTCCACTTTGTTTCAATTTCTCTAAGGAAATAACTGGATCTTCTTTAAATAAGCACCATTCCAGTGGAGTTAATATCATCGTTTGAACAGCTTCCTCCTGTTTTTCCAATTCTGGGTCTATTTCTTCAAAGTAAATGTCTGGTACAGTTTGTGCCAAATAATATAAGAAGGCAGAATGAAAATCAACTTGCTGATGCCACCACTGCAAGAAAATAAGAGTAAAATAATTTATATCTTGAAACACTTTACTTCTTAAGAATCTACAGATAAAATTAAATCAAGTATAATTCTACTTAATCAGAAAAGGTACCATAGGATACCCTATAATACTCAGCCTCCTCTAACATCAAAGAGAAATGTTTGAGGAACACTCATTGGAAAGAATACTCCAAATCACTAAGGAATTAAAATTAAAACAGCTCTGACGTTTTACCTCACACCCATCACAATCTAATGGGAGAAACAATATGAAAACAACTACATACAAACAATAAATATACAGAATCTACATACATTTGAAAAGAGGAGACATGCATGACTGAGCAATTTCACACCTTTTAATGTAAAATAATTTTGTTGCAATATCAAGCATCCTGATTTGGTTATGATAAAATAAATTTGAAAAATATATCAATGGTAGCAGAGCTAGGTATTAATGACTCATCTGAAGTTGTGTTAAACCATGTGAATCTCTGGAATTGTTAAACTAAGGATATAAGGAATACCTTAAATATACCTTCCACTTATTATCTTTGCAGTGCCAGAGATAATCATCCCAAGATGAAAAGACATTTCACCATTCTCCCCTGCTTATGGTAGAGAGGCAACCACTTACTTATTTCTAAAGCTGATTTATGATTTCATTAGTCACTTAAAAATTTTATTGATATATTTTTTCTTCATTGCTCTTACAATTCACTCTTCCTCCAATAGAAGTTGCTACCCCCCAAAAAAAAGCACAATTAAGCATTTACTTATTATTATATTATCAGACATTTATATATTACATATTACATTACAGTATTATATTATCAGATATTTGTGATGTCTGATAATACATGCCTTATTCTGTATCTGTAGTCTAACATCTCCCTACTGAGATGTGAGTGGCATAATTTACCTCCAAGTCCTTGGAAATAACCACACATTACTGCATTGATCGGAGTTGTAAAGTCTTTCAATGTTGATTTCCTTTATATCAGTGTGGTCACTGATAAATTGGCCTCCTAATTCCAGAAAGATGCACACTAGATTGCAGTATAGTTAAGTGAATTCAAAATTAGTTGAAAAGTAGTCATTAACAGATCTAAGTCAATTTGAGGAAAGGTATCTATTAGAATACACCCAGACTCTGGTTCTGTGCTATTTTACATTTTTATTAGTGTCTTAGATTTAAAAAAAAAAAAACAGAAGAAAATCCTTAAGAAATGTTCAGCTAACTCAAAGCCAGGAAGAACAGCTAACACTTAGGATGATAGAGTCAGTATTCAAAAGGATCTGTGAAAAAAGGGATAGAAATTGGGTCTATGATTTCATTTGTATAAACTCCATCAACCAAAATGAAGGCTGGCATTATCTCTACAACTTATATTTTTAGAGTTATCTAGGGCACTAAAAGTTAAATTACTTTCTCAGAATTATACAACTAGAATGTCAGAGGCAGTAATTGAACTCAGGTTTTCTTGCCTCTGAGGCCAACTCTCCATCCACTGCAACAAGCTGCATTATAAAATTTGAAGCTAACACAAAGCCAAGATAGACAGCTAACACTCTGGATCCAAAAAGAATGAAAAATTTTTTTTTAAAAATCCTCACAGGTTAGACTACTAAGCCAAATCAAGTAAGATGAAATTTAATAGGAACAAGTGAAAATTTCCACACTTGGGTTAAATAAACCAAATACACAAGTACAAGATAATGGAGAGGTGACTAAACAATACTTCACAAGCAAAAGTTCAAAGGTTAGGGTAAATAAACTTCAATCATCACAAAAAGCTAACAGGATGTTAGGTCACTAATGCAAGTCTGCTTAGACTGGCTTCCTTTCCCCTGGAGAGAACAGAAACAGCCTCAATGTCTGATAAGCTTATTAAGTACAGTCATTAACACCAAAGGCATTCCACTAACCACTTTGCTTATCCTTATGACACATTTATTCTTTATTGGTGTATTTAAAAGCAGCTGGGGTCTATGCTGGTGGTATATTTATAAAAATGTCCTACTTCCCTTGGTCTATCTCAATATGATACCTAATAGACCCCAACCCTGAGCCTGCTCAGCCCTAGCCTGCAAGGTCTAGGCAAGGCTAGTAGTAGCCTGGGACTTCTGCCCAGGCTGCTTTAGAATCGGAGCCAACACGGAGACTCACAAGGCAGTGAGGTCAGGAATAAACATCCTCAATATCCTAAATGTGAAGCTTTCTCTCTCTGTGCCCTACAATCCTGGAAGGGACTGGCCAATAGCATTAGCAAGCAGAAAGCACCCAGAAAAGGAGGAGGAGAGATATTTTTGCCATGATCTTTCATGGTCAAACCACAGGTGAAGCATTGTGTTCAGTTCTGGGCACCACATTTTAGGAAGGACATTTACAAACATTGAAATAAGTCTAGATGTGTGTGATCAGGATGGTCTGGGTAATTTTTATGCCATGTTCTAAGAAAAATTGTTCCTTGTACATACATATCAGTTTCTCATATCCATTTATAGCACTAACCTCTCTCCTGACCTCCAGTTTCACATCACAAACTGCCTATTGGACACCTTGAACTGGATATCATAGACATCTTAAATATACCAAATCCAAAGAAAAACTCATTATCTTTCTCCCCTAAAGCCTCCCCCCTTTCCAACTTTTCTGTTACTGCAAGGATACCACTACTACTGGTGGAGTTGTGAACTAGTTCAACTATTCTGGAGAACAATCTGGAACTACACTCAAAGGGCTATAAAATTGTGTGTACCCTTTAACCCATCAATACCATTACTAGGTCTGTATCCCAAAGAGATCAAAGAAAAGGGAAAAGGATCTATACATACAAAAATATTTATAGCAGTGCTATTTGTGGTGGCAATGAATTAGAAACTGAAGGGATGACCATCAGCTGAGGAAGGGCTGAACAAGTTGTAATACATGATTGTGATGGAATACTATTGTGATGAGAAGGCTGATTTCAGAAAAACCTGAGAAGACTTACATGAACTAATGCAAAGTGAAGTGAGCAAAATCAAGAAAATATCGTACACAGTAAGAGCAATATTGTAACAATAATTAACTATGAAAGACTTAGCTACTCTGATTAAGACAATGATCCAAGACAATTCCAAAGGACTCAGATGAAAAATGCTATCCACCTCCAGAAAGAGAACTGATGAACTGAGTGCAAATTGAAGCATACTTTTTTTACTTTTTTTTGTTTTTCTATGCATATGTGTTCTCTTTTACAACATGGCTAATATGTAAATATGTTTTGTATGACTTCACCCATATAATCAATGTTATATTACTTGCATTCTCAAGGGGTGGGAGAGTGGCAGGAGAGAGAGAATTTAGGATTCAAAATTTTATAAAATGAACGTTCAAAATTTTTTTACAAGTAATTAGGAAATATTTAATGAAATAAAAGTATATTAAAAAAAAAAAAAGAATGTGAGCCTCCTGAGATCAGGGGCTGTTTTTGCTTTTCTTTGTATCCCCATTACCGAGAACAATACAATGCCTGATTTACATAAGTGCTTAATGAATGATTGCTGACTAACTTAAGACAGCTCTCTTTTTTCTTTCTTGTCATTCCTTAAGAGCAAAGACTATTTCATTCTTTATATAGCATTTGTATCCTGAGTACCTAGTACAATGACTGACACATGGTAGGTGCTTAATAAAGGCTTGGAGCAAAGGACCTGGAAACAAAGTAATTGACCATTGCCTGGAGAATGGCTAAACAAATTGTGATATATGACCATAATAGAACATTACTGTGTCATAAGAAATAGTGAATATGAGGAATACAAGGAGGCATGGGAAGACATCTAAAATGATGGGAAATGAAATAAGGAGAATTAGGCAAATCATATACATAATAACTACAACAACATAAATGCAAATAAGAACAAAAATCAAAACTTAATGTTATGTAATTATAATGACCAGGTCTGAAACCAAAGAAGAGAAATGGAAAGGGAAATGTATTTCCCTCCCTTACTTGGAGAGGTGAAAGACTATGGATATGAAACACTGTGTATACTGTCAGTGGCACATTGGTTAATATGGCTGAACTTTTCCCCCTCTTTTTTCTTCTTTATTTGTCTTTATAAGATAAAGCTGGAGGGAGGGAAGAATATACTGGAAAATGAAAGTGCATTATGAGACATAATGGTTTTTGGACATGGTCAATGAAGGAATTTGTGTTGCTTGAGTATATGTGTTTGTAAGAGGGTTTATTTTTCTTATCAATAGGAGGAGGGGAAGGAGAGAATGTAGATTTTCATTTATTTTAAAATGTTTAAAAAATGAAAGATATAAAAATACAATACATCAAAAAACTTTTTGAAAATAAAACATAATATATGTTGATGAAAAAATAATCTTAGACAAGAGGTTCCTACTTGGTCTTTCTTTTCTAAATACCTACTCCCAGAATCAAGAGTGGATATCAAACTATTTCTTAAATTCACCTCCTTATTGATCAGGAACTCTAAGATGTCTTGATCATTTCTTCTTAAGGTTCTTATCATTTCTGTTTTTGGAAACCAGTTCCTCTTTATTAGTCAGAATCTGGCCAAGAACAGTAGCTCTTGTTATTTACTTTGGGAGTATGAAATTAAGTCAATAATTTGTCAGCTACTCTGCTTAAACCCCATCACAATTAGGCTACTTCTTCACAGATGCAGGATGAACATGAACTTATTGTTCATAACATTTAATTGGCAAGTATTTATTAAGCACCTACTACATGCCAGCCACTATACTTGTTAACATCAAGGATAAATACAATTAGGTAACCACTGAAGCTTAACAGATATAACTATATAAACTTCTGTTTATGTAATGAAAGTATTGGAGCAGCTTGGTGGTACAGTGGATAGAGTGCTGGGCCTGAAGTCAGGAAGATTCATTTTCCTGAGTTCAAATCTGGCCTCAGAACTTAGTAAATGGGTGACCCTAAGCAAGTCACTTCATCCTGTTTGCCTCAGTTCCTCAATTGT